GTTTTTTCTCCCACTCTATCCAGGATCTCTAGATTTGATCCTTTCCTGAGTGGTTGGCATTGGTAGCTGGGCACCATTTAGTTCTTCTGGTCTTGAGGGCCATTGTGTCCTAGGGCCGATTGCTTCCAAATGCACTTTTTTTTTTTTTTTCCTGAACCTTTCTTCTCTTCCAACAATAGGAGACCATTAGGTGTATCTTAGATGGCTGCTGGAAAGCTTTTAAGACCCCAGTCACTACTCGTCAATGCAGGATGAGGAACAAGACTTTTATGTATTTTGTTGTGTCAATTGAGTCTGGTGTTTCCCAGTTCTATGGTCCTGAGTCAGTAGATCCATTCGCTCTCTCTCCCACAGTGTCTAGGTGTCTGTGAGGGATTACTCTATTTCTGTCTTCTGTTGTTTCTGTAAGGACTGCAGGTATTTTGTATCACTGGTATCTGTGCAATATTAGCCTCCACCGAATCTATCCTTGGTCTAGAGTATACTCCTGCTCAGTGACCCCCATGTCGTCTTCTCAGATGTTTATGTGTTTATCTGTTTATATGTTTATCATGCATGTCATGTATGATATTCTTGATGTAATCCCACAATTCATCTGTTTTTCTGCCATTGGTGTTCAGTGAAATAAATCTGTTCTTCAGATGCTCTCTAAATTCGGCTGGCATATAATCAAGGTCATATTTTGGCTCGTATGGACTTGTTTTAATTGTCTTCAGCAACAACTTGAAGTTATATGAGAGCAGTTGATGGTTTGTTCCACAGTCAACTCCTGACCTTGTTTCGGCTGAAGATACTGAGCTTCTTCATCACCTCTTTCCACAGATGTAGTTGATCTGATTTCTGTGTATTCCATGTAGAGAGGTCTACCTGTATAGCCACTGCTTATATTGTTAGAAAAAGGTATTTGCAATGAATAAGTTGTTGATCTTGCAAAATTCTATCATGCATTCTCCAGCATCATTTCTTGCATCAAGGCCATATTTTCCACTACCCATGATTGTTCTTTCTTTCCAACATTTTCATTCCAATCACTGGTAATAATGAATACATCTTGATTGTATGTTTGATCAATTTCAGACTGCAGAAGTTGGTAAAAATCTTCAATTTCTTCATCTTTGGCTTTGGTGGTTGGTGTGTAAATTTGAATAATAGCAGTATTAACTGGTCTTCTTTGTAGGTGTATGGATATTATCCTATCATTGACAGCATTGTACTACAGGAGAGAGCTTGAAACACATTTTGTGATGATGAATGCCACACTATTACTCTTCAATTTGTCATTCCTGGCATAGTAGATCTTAGGATTGTCTGATCCAAAATGGCCTAAACTAGTCCATTTTAGCTCATTAATGGCTAGGATATCAATCTTTATGTGTTCCACTTCATTTTTGACAACTTTCAATTTTTGTAGATTCATACTTCATACATTCCATGTTCCAGTTATTAATGGATATATGCAACAGTTTCTTCTCATTTTGAATCATGCCACGTTAGCACATGGGGGTCTTGAAATCTTTATTCCATCCATGTCATTAATGTCTGCTCTGCTTTGAGGAGGCAGCTCTTCCCCAGTCATATACTGAGTGCCTTTTAACCTGAGGATCTCATCTTCTGGCAGTATAGGATACAATGTTTCAGGGCTATTCATAAAGTTTTCCAGTAATATATCAGACAGTGTTTCACTGCTATTCATAAGGTTTTCACTGGCCAATACTTCTAGAATTAGATGGCCCCTTCCTTCTTCCAAGTGTGTCTTAGTCTGGAAGCTCCACTGAAACCTGTCTACCATGTGTGACCTTTTTGGTATTTGAAATACCGGTAGCATAGCTTCCAGCCTCACAACAACATGCAAGCCACCACAGTATGACAAACTGTCAGATGAGTGGTGCCTTTCTTAGTTAAGTCTATTTGTTTTGTTGAAAAAGAATAAATAAAGCATAAACAGAATTGTGTGTTTTTTTAAAAAAATCAATGCTATGAAATCTCTGAGAAAGGTAATATTTCTTTTATATAAAAATATATATTGAGCACTGCCTTGTTAATTTTATTTTTAATCTTTACTTCCTAGGACTGGAAGATGAGCAGAAATGTACAACTGATACCTCTTCAAATTCTAATTTGTTCTTACAAATGTTTTAATCAACGTGGCCCTGACCTCTTTGGAATTGCTCAGATGTAGAGCACATAAGAAGCTCCTTCAGAGCCTCACCTGATTTTCCCCATCTGCTCTCTGTCTACTGGCAGATTATACCCCACTTGTGATACCACGCCGAGTTAGTTCTCTTTATAAATAAACTGAGCAAAGGAAGAAAAACAATTTCATTATAAAGATCTCAAGCACTTAATTTACTTTTAGATTATTTAGACTCTACTTGTGCTGTTTTCTCCACCCTTCTTTGGCTTAAAAATAAAATAAAAAATGGAAAAAGAGATATATGTGGCAAATGAATATTATTTTTCCCCCTTTCATTTAATTATCAGCACCTTCTTGTTTTATATAAATATTGGGACTTTGATTGGGAAATGTATTTATTTTCTGAAATTTTGTAGCTGAAGGAGAATTATTTTTCAGTGTTAGATAGTTGTATGGCATTTCTAGGATTCCAGTTGAGCTTGTATTTATTTATTTATTAACCAAAAAAAATAAAAAATACCCACTGCCATCGAGCCGACTACAACTCATAGTGACTCCATTGGGTTTCCAAAGCTGTGTATCTTTTATTTTTCAAATGTGCTTTAGGTGCAAGTTTACAGAGCAGAGTTTGTTTTACATTCAACATTTTGTTTACATTTAGTTTCACTCCCCATTTACCATCTCCAACCCTAACCCAGTCTCCTCCCCACCCTGCGCAGTAACCCTCTCCCTGTGCACCTCATAGTTTTGCACTCCCGTGTGTCCTGCATCTCCTCCATGCAAATGTTGCCCCTCTGGTGCCCCGCGGTCAATTGCTTCAAGGGATTCATCTCCATAGACTATGTGGGTGCATCACCCGAGGATGAGTGATCTGTGTGTACATCTTGTTTACTATTAGGCTGAGAGCCAGCCCCTGGGAGTGAGTTTTATCCCAGGCCCAAAATGTATCCCAGGGCTATAGTATTGGGGGACTCACCAGACTCCATCTGACCAGTAATTCTGGTCATTATTGTATTTTTGGATTTTGTTCCACGTTTTTCCTCCTGTTCTATCCTGGATCTCCAGTTTGATCCTTTCCTGAATGGTTGGCATTGGTAGCCGGGCACCTTCTAGTTCCTCTGGTCTCGAGTTCCATCATGTCCTAGGGCTGATTGCTTCCAAATGCCCTTGTTTTTTTCCACTCTTCTTCGCTTCTCATAACTGGACACCATTAACTGCATCTTAGATGGTCACTTGAAAGCTTTTAAGACCCCAGTGCTACTCACCAAGGTAGGGTGAAAAACAAGATTTTTATGTTATTTTTGTGTGTGTGTCATTTGAATCTGGTGTCCCCAGTACTATGGTCCTGAGTCAGTAGATCCATTGGATCTCTCTCCCACAGTGTCTGGCTATCTGTGAGAGATTATTTCTGTCTTCTGTTGTTTCTGTAAGGATTGCAGGTATTTTGTATCACTGGTATCTGTGCAAGATTAGCCTC